CGGAACGGCGAGGAACGGCCACGGAACGGCGTGGAACGGTCCGGAACCGAACGGCACGGAACGGCATGGAACGGTACGGGAAGGTGCGGAACGGAACGGCACGGGAAGGTGCGGAACGGAACGGCGAGGAACGGCGTCGAACGGTCCGGAACCGAAAGGCACGGAACGGCAAGGAACGGCATGGAACGGTACGGAACCAAACGGCACGGAACGGCATGGAGCGGTACGGAACCGAACGGCACAGAATGGTCCAGAACAGCACGAAACGGCCCGGTGCGGAACGGCCCGGTGTGGAACGGCACAGAACGGTACGGAACCGGACAGCATGGAATGGCCCAGAACGGCATGAAACGGCCCGGAACGGCATGAAACAGCGCCATACAGAACGGCATGGAACGGCCCGGTACGGAACGGCACGGCAGCACCCGCCCCCCCCGCCCCGGGACGGCTCAGGCGCTGCGATACGCCCCCCGCAGCCCCCCACTGCCACAACCTGCCCTGGGGGTGTTCCCGCAGCACCCCCCGAATATACAGAGTGTGGGTGCACACCCCCCCGTGCGTGGGCTGTGTCACACCCCCGGTACGCACACTGCAACATATGTACCTGCTCCTAAACCAGAGTGTGTGCATGCACACGCATCCCGCAGCACGCATTGGAACGCGTGCACACCCACTTGTGCACCATTTATGTGTGCACACGCAGAGTGGGGCTCACACACCCCATAAGCACACCCCTGCAGCACAACACACACCAGTCCTCAGCCTACAACACAACACGCACGCTGGAACACACGCTTGTGTGCCGTGCGCTCGCTCTGGTGCACACACAGCCCCCTGGTGCATCGCACCAGCACACACACACGCTCCTGGGGTTCCCCTTTTCGGAAGGATCTGAGCAGGAGCGGTGCCTGATGCAGCACAGGGAGGGCTTCAGGGTGGCCGGTCACCGCAGGCGGCTGCAGGGACCGAGCCTGGGGAATACAAAGCAGAACGTGGCGGAGCCTCCTGCAGAGCCGTTTCGCAGCCAGTGCTTGTCCCCACACTGCCTGTCCCCGGGGAGGGCTGTGAGCCTGCAGAAACCAGGCCACTCAGGACGGTGCCTGGCTGCCCGGGCCGGGAGACAGCACGTGATTAACGACGAGCATCTCTCAGCGAGGCCGGCAGCGAGAGCTGCAAAGCCTTTGTTATGCCCCTTCCACTCATGTCCAGCTGTGGGACGTCGCGCCGGGGTTGGTCAGATACAGCCAAAATCCTGAGGGACAGCCCCGGCCGCACACAGTGTGATGGCTGGCGGTGGCTGCCCTGGGACAGATGATTTCAGGGCAAGCCCTGCTTGTCTCTTCATTGAGACATCCTCCCTTGTCATCTGACGTGGGAGCAGCTGGGCCACCTCTGGGGCCCTTGTGGGATGTGGGTGACCCAGCAGCTGGGGAAGCTGGAGCTGGGCTTGGGGATCCCAGAGTCAGGAATCCCCGAGCTCTTCCCAAAAACGCTTTTCAGGGAGTGCTTCATCTCTGATGGAAAGCTCAGGATGGACAGAGGGACCTATGGGGACAGGGGTCTGCCCCCAGCATCATCCCCACCACCTCCCATGGCTCTCCACCCTCCCCTGGGGTGCCCTGGAGCGCTCTCAGGACATTCCTGCCTGGCTGTCACAAGCCTTTGTTTCCACGACATGGTGAGGGTGGGTGTGATTTCACCCCACAGCACATGCCCAGGACACAGCCTCAGTGCAGCAGCAGAGCAGCACAAGTGTGCAGGAGCACAGTGAGAGCAAGCTGGCAGCCACACGAGGGGCCCTGTGCTGTGCCCTGGCCCGGAGAACCCAGCAGAGGAGGAGATGCAGCCCTTGCAGCAGCAGAGGACGGCAGCAGCGAGCACAGCCGCCTGCTTTTGTCACACTTTCCTTTGTCCCAGGCATGTGGCGCCCAGCACGGGGCTGCAGCCGTCTGGAGAGCAGTGATGGGGATGGGTGAGCCCGGAGGGGAGGCAGAGCCTCAGCTCAGCTGCCAGGAGGGTTTTCCGGCTGCGGTGGCATCGTGTGACTCTACCTCTGCCCTGCCACCCTGGCACAGGCATGTGAACAGCCAGTTACAGCCTGCGGCAGCTCCTGCTTCCTTATCACCCTGGGCAGGTGGCAGTGGGGCTGATGCCGGTTGGAACCGCCAAGATGTGGGACAGCATTAGGTCTCGGGAGGCTCACACAGCCCTGCCACCAGCAGCCACCCGGCAGGGCCACCCTCCTGCCACCTTCCCAGGGCTAAACACTTCCATGGTTCCCAGCAAGGTGGCCAGGTGCCCATGCCCATGCCTTCAAGAGCCCGTTCAGCCTTGCCAGCCCCTCTCCCGGGGCTGGACTGCCATGAGCAGCTCTCCCCTGGCACAGGGTTTCACAGGCACCAGCAAACCCCCTGCCCGAGGAAAGTCTCCATGTTGCCCACAGCTTTCTAGGGTGACGTGGGACAGAGCTCCGGTGCCAGTGGCATTTCCTGGTGCCCCCAGCAGGCACAGACGGCTGGCCGGAGCGGCGAGGGCCCCGAGCCGGGCTGGGAGGGGAAGCATCTGTTTCGCAGCGCCGTGGGGTTTCCTAAATAGGTCACTGCTTTTTTATAGTCTCTGGGATCTAGAAAAACCAGTTGTTCCGGACAATCCGTGGACCCGCCAGCATCGTTTCAGCGGTGGCTCCCCAGGCACTCGCTGCTGTCCCCCCATGTGTTCACTGAGGGGGGGACACCTGCCCTGGCAGGTGAGGAGGGGGAGCAGTTAGGTAGCCCACCGCACCCCGAGCCGTACCCTGGGGTCCTGCTCTCTGCCAAGTGACCTGTCCCCAGCCATGCCCAACATGGGGTGTGCAGAGGGGTCTTTCCCCACCACCCCTCTCCTGGCTTGGGATGGCTGCTGGCTCCAGGCTTTGCCCCAGGACCATTTGCAGCCAGATCCAAGGTTTTCCCTTGGCCGGGGGAGCCGGGTGCCCATGTGGGGTGTAGCGGGGTGTGCGGTGCTGTACACCCCTGCGCACACTGTACACCCGCATGCGCTGGCTGCGGCGCAGCCTCCTCGGGCTGAGCTCTCCCTCTAGTGGCACTGGGCTCCTGGCAAAGCCTCCACGCTGTCAGGGTGGCCAAAGTCATGGCCAGGGCATGTCCCAGAGTCTGGAGGGAGCCTGGGGAGGGGAGGGTGACAAGCTCCAGCCTGGTCTCCCCCTTGCACAGGGGTGCACATGGAGGGGTGCACAGAGAGGGTGCCTGGAGGCTTTGCAGGAGCGTTCCTGCCATGAGCCCCACATTTTTGGCAGCCCCACGGAGGGTAGGTGGCCCGGCTCCTCCCTTTCCCTGACCCCATGTTTGCTGGGATGCGGTCAGCCAGGAGCCAGTGTAAGGCTTTAGGGGTGCAGCCCCCCCAGCTCGGCTTCCCAGTTCCCCCCCCGCCAGCTTCACCAACCTCCCCATCCCCACCCCCCCGGGCTCTGGGGCAGAGCATGGCTGCAGCCGGTGAGAGGAAAGGTGTCCTCCCCCCGAGTCCTGGCTTCCCCACACCATGGCGGAGCCCAGCCCACAGTAGGGGTCCTCCAGGACCCCGCTAGGCCCCCTCAGGCCGGGCTGGGCTGGTGCCATCCCTGCAGCGTGGCCCCACCAGGGTCCCCCCCACCCCGGGCCGGGCGCCAGGCCTTGCCGCAGGGCAGCGCTGACGGGGCGCTTTGTTTTGTGCTGGCTGCCCGGCGGGGAGACAAAAGGGGCAGTCAGACGCGGGCGGCGCATTGTGCTGGCAGCCATGCGCTGAGGCAGCAGCCCGCCCCGCCACCCTCGCCTCGTGACCCCCCCCCCCCAAAAGGGCCCGGCCATGTGCCCACCATGGGCACCCTAGGGGCCTGCAGCCCTCCCTGAGGGAGCCGGGGAAGGGGGAGAGACATGGTTGCTATGGTTACGGCGAGGCCTGAGGCCTAGGGGTGCCTTGTTGCCATGGTTACCGCAGGCCCGAGGCCTCGCAAGCCCATGGTGGCTTCCCCCCCCCCGGGGAATGGGGCCAGGGCGGTGGCGGCACTGTGTGGAGCCCATGGGCAAGCAGCAGGGCATGGCGTGGCCATGGGTTGCTGGGTAGGGAGCAGGAGGCCCCACACCAGCTCCCACCGAGAGGGGAGCAGCAGCCTCACAGCCCCCCTCGCCCACCATGGGGCCGCGGTGGGAGGAGGGTGTCCACACCGACATGGAGGCAGGGACCTGCCATGGCTTGGTGGAGCAAGGCAACAGTGGTGCCCGGCGATTACCCAGCCCAGCCCACCACCTGCGGTGGGGTCTCACCAGGAGGCTGCTGTGCCATCCCTACCGTGCCAACCGTCCCCTGCACCATCCCCACCGCGCCAACCGGCCCCCGCGCTCGCCCCGTGACGGCGCGGTGCATTGCCCCTGGAAAATGCCAGAGCAGTCAAACCGTTGAGTCATTTGTGCCCAAGATTATCTGTGCAAACAACCGTCCCGATTATTTTTTTTTTTATTATTATCAATTTTTTTTTTTTTTTTTTTTTTTTTTCCCTAAGAATGGGGCTCAGACCATGGGGATGAGCAGCTGAAATATTGTGCAAAAAACCCGCCCCATTTTTTTTTTTTTTATTATTATAAATTTTTTTTTTTTTTTTTTTTCTTTTTCCCTAAGAATGTGGCTCAGACCATGGGGATGAGCAGCTGAAATCTCCGGGGATCAGCAGGACAATGCCAGAGCAAGCATTGTGCTGACGGCTCTGCAAACGCTGGCACCGGCTCCCGGCCAGCAGCACCCTATAAAAGCCGAGCCGCTGAAGTAGGCAAACATTACATGGGCGAAGCAGCAGTAACCGCCTGAGCTAGGTGAGTCCTGGGACCGATCCGTACCTCTCCCACCTCGCCCCTGCTGCCGCCGGGCAGACACCCTTCCTCCTGCCTGGTGGCAAAAGACACCCAGAGGGACCATCGCCATTTCCCATGGCAAAAAGACAGGCTCACACGTCCCCCGCTGGCAGCTGGGGTGGCTGAGAGCTCCTCTACCATGGGGCACCCCACTCCCAGCACCCGCATGGCCCCAAGACCCTTGCATGGCACCCCGGCTGGCATTGCCCACCATTAGCCAGGGCCATCCATGGGAGCCCACTGAGCCTCCCAAGGGAGACATAGCCAGGGCACTGGGGCAGGGAGAGGGGAGCAGCTTGGTCTGTTGGACACCACCAGGTACTGGGCAGCCCGTGCCCCCTGCCACAGCTCCCCACTCCACCTCAGGGGTGGTTTTCCGAGTGATGGCTTGGCCTTGGGGAAGGAAAAGAGGGAGCCGGGCATCGTTCCCCACCGGGTAAGCAGGCTCCATGCCGTGGCTGGGAAGAGGGAAGGGGCACCACAGTAGCAAGAAGGGAGCACCCTGCTTTGGATGTGTCCCAGAGCCCCTGCCATGGCCCCCAACCCCATCCTGTGGCTAGTAAGAGGGTCTCGCTGCAACTGGTGTGGCTTGTCCCCAGCAGCAGGGCAGCTGCCTTCAAATGGGCACTGTGGGCAGCGGGCACAGAACCCTTGCCCGGCCCCACGAGCCCGCTGTGGGGATGCACGGGGGCACACTGCAGTACAAACGGCTTTTCCTTCCTTCTCCAGACACCGTTCCAGCAGCAAAGATGGCTCAGACAAACCCTCTGCCTGTCCCCATGGGCCCATGGAAGGTATGTCCTCGCACCCCTTGTGTCTCGCCTTTCCCGGTGTGCAGGTGGGGGACAGGGAGAGGGGCAAAAACTGGTCCTATGGGGCCAGAAAAGCTGCACAGTGGGCAGTGAGGTGGGGGGAGCACCCGAAGCAAGGCACCCCTGTCCTCTGCCCACAGGAACTTGCCTCCCACCTGCTCAAAAACCTCCTGGGTTGTTTTTCATAAGCCTCTTTGCAGCGCCCTGGCCCAGCCGTGCCCTGCTCTCACCAGTTGCCCCGTGCCAGGCGGTTACAGCAGCCCTTGAAAGCCATGGGCTGTTATTTGCCCTCCCCTGCCGGTGCAGACAGGCTGGCAGGGTGGGCAGGGGAAGGCACCGGGGCTGCAAAGGGGGTGGTGGGCACGGCGGAGCGAGGTGGGGAGCAGCCGCAAGAGCTCTGGCAACATCTCCAGGGACACAGTTCGAGGAAGGGGCCGAGAGAAGCACGAGAGAAAGCGGGATGCACCCTGCCAAAGCCTGGAGCTGTCACGGGAGAGGAGAGTGTCAGCCGCAGCCCCCCGGGGAGTTCCCCCTGGCCCTTTCCCCCGTTAATCCTCTTTGCCCTAGAGCATTCGGAGCAGAGGCCGGGAGAACCGCCAGGCACAGCTCTGCCACCCGCCCGTCCCAGCGCGGCTCCGCTCCTCTCTCCGGATGGCACCGCTGCCCCAGGAACTGATCTCCTCAGGGGTGAGCAGGAGAGCGGAGCGGGGACCGGCGTCTGGCTCCCCCAACACCAAGGCAGGGCACCATGGGGCCAGCAGTGCAGGGACGTGCAGAGGTGTGCGGGGCTGTGTCCCAGCCCAGAGGGGTGCTCAGTGCAGCCTCCGCCGGCTCTTTCCCAAACGGAGCGTGACCCTCTGTCTCCGAGAGATGCTGAATCGCCCGGGGCCACTGCTGAGCAGTTCCCAACTCGGCAGCTCGCTCTCCCTTCCAGATCACCGTGTACGACCAAGAAAACTTCCAGGGCAAGAGGATGGAGTTCACTTCGGCCTGTCCAAACATCATGGAGTGCGGCTTCGACAACATCCGCTCCCTGAAGGTGGAGTGTGGCGCGTGAGTACCCGGCTGCCAGCGGTGGGGATGCTTTCCCAGGCGGGTTGGTGGGGCGAGGGGTGCATGAAGGGGGCTCAATGTCCTCGTTCCGCTTGGCTGGAGCCAAGCACAACAGCTGGGGGAAGCCAGGCATGGGGGATCCCACCCTGCCGGGGTAGAGCAGCCAGCCTTGGGCAGCACTGACATAGACAGAGGGCCCAGAGAACGGCGGCAATGCCTTTGGCATCATCCAAAACTGCCTCCTGCAGTCTGGGAGCAGCCAGGTTTGGAGCTCCGCGGTGCCCTGCAGGGATGCTGCCAACATTGGTGCTCAGCAAGTGGCTCTTGAGCTCAGCTTGGTCCCCATCTGCTTCTGTAACTCCATGAAGAACCACTTTCTTGCCGCCAGCCCTGTGCTCTCCCCACACCTTGCAGCTCCCCGGGGCCAGAGCAGAGCCTTCCCACCGCCTGCGCTGGGCTGCCCCCGTTGCTGACAGGGGTAGGGATCAGAGCTGGGCTTCTCCCACATGGGAATCTTCCCTGGCACAGGCAAGACATCTCCGGAGCTGCTCCGAGCTGCTGTGTGTAAGGAGCGGTCCCCACGGCAAGCATCCCGCTGGGGCCGGGGAAGCAGACAGGATAGATTTGCGCTGCTATATTTAGGATTTGTAATGCTAATGGGATTACAGCGGCGTGCGTGCTCACGCCGTAATCAGCTCGCTGCTCCAGTTGACGCGTCCCTAATCAGGCTGGTCACCTTGCACGGGGGAGACCGACTGCGGGACACGGGATTGGGGCTCAGTTTGGGTCAGTGGCAAGAGGCTCTCGCCCCCCCCCCCCGGCTCAGGTGCCCCTCAGCACCCCACATACCCCATAAGCAGGGGGGCTGTGGGCTGCAGAGCCTGTGCCATTCTCCTTCCAGCCCCCAGCCCAGCCTTTGCCTCCCCACTCCGCTCGGCTGTGGCTGTCCCGTCCCCAGTCCCTCTAAGGGGACATGCCCAGGAAGGTCCCCACCTGGGGGACAGGCAGGCTCTCATGTGGGCAGCAGCAGGGCTTGAAAAATGTGTGCTGTGGGGCAGAGGCACCCCTCTCACCCTTCTATGTTTGTTTTCAGACAAGGGGGGAACCCTAAAAGGGGAAAGGCAACAGCTCCCTGCCCTGCCCGCAGCCAGATGGGTTCTGCCTGGTTTGGGCATTAGGAATTCAGGTCTTTCCAGCTGTGCCAGGTTCTAATTGGCAAACAAGTAAGAAACGAGGCCTTTGGGAGAGAAGGGCAGCCAGGCGTGTCCTGTGGCATCCTAACGCGGTGCCGATCTGTGTTGATAACCACGGAGCGTTAGGGGAAAGCGAGGTGCCCTCGCAGGCTGGGCCCCTTGAGGAAGGGTCCCCACCACCCGCCGCAGCCGGGGAACGCAGCCTGGGGTGCCTCCCTGGCACCAGACACGGTTGCACGCTCCCCGGCTGCTCTGCCCACATCCAGCACCACTTCCTTCCCTCCCGGAGCTGTGGGCAGAGGCCAGACCCCAACCTCATCCTCTCACCTCCATCCCTGCCCCGGGTGCCAGCCCCCAGCAGGAGGCCCAGAGCTGCCGCAGGAAGCCCGGGCAGCCCTTGCTGTGTTTTTGCAGCTGGGTGGGTTACGAGCACACCGGGTTCTGCGGGCAGCAGTTCATCCTGGAGAGGGGAGAGTACCCGCGCTGGGACGCCTGGAGCGGCAGCAACGCCTACCACATCGAGCGCCTGATGTCCTTCCGCCCCGTCTGCTCCGCTGTGAGTGTCCCCGCTCCCTCGGAGCTCTCACATCCCTAGAAAACATCCCAGGCAGCAGCAGCAGGCCAAGGGAGGGAGGTTTGGAAGGGCAAACACAGCCACGCCGGGTGGCAGAGGCTCCTCAGGGTGGGCTCAGCTCTTCACCCTCACGCCCAGCAGGATTTGCTGGTGCTGTCTTGTTTTCCTAAAACTTTTAAGGGAACTGTTGATACACAACCAGAGTTTGGGGACAGCCAGCCTGAGATGGCAGCTGTGGCACAGCCGTCACTGACACCTCCCCATGACACCTCCTGGCCCAGCATCACCCTGCTGAGCACCCCACACATCTTTGGCTTTGGGAAAAGCAGCCTCCCCCGCAAAAACCAGCCCAGGGTCACCCCCCCCTCCCTGGGGCTGTGCCCACAACCTCCAGGAAACCCTCTGAGAAACACCATAAGGAGGGACAGCTATTCCCCTGCCGTCCCCATCCACAGCAGGGAGGAAGCACCGTCCCCCCCCCTCACCCCCTGGTCTTCCCCCACCCCAGAATCACAAGGAATCCAAGATCACCATCTTTGAGAAAGACAACTTCATCGGCCGCCAGTGGGAGTTTGGCGATGACTACCCCTCGCTGCAGGCCATGGGCTGGGCCAACAACGAAGTGGGCTCCATGAAGATCCAGTGCGGCGCGTAAGTGACAGGCAAAGGGCCACGGGCAGCAGGGACAAGCCACCGCCATCGCTGTGCTACCACAGCTGGAGGGGGGACACCCCGTAACCCCCTTGGCTTACCTCTTGTCCCTCTTACGGCCGCCTGACGACTCCTTTTCTTCCTTTTTTTCTTCCAGCTGGGTTTGCTACCAGTATCCTGGGTACCGTGGCTACCAGTACGTCCTGGAGGCCGACCACCACGGAGGAGACTACAAGCACTGGAGAGAGTGGGGTTCGCACGCCCAGACCTCCCAGATCCAATCCATCAGGCGTGTCCAGCAGTAGCTCCCCACTTTCCAGTACATCTCTGCAAGGTTTCCAAAGCTCACCGGCTCCCTTTTGGTGCTAATAACTCCCCTCCCGAAATAACCACCCCTTCTTGTACTGCAACTGCTTACGGGACAACACTCCCGAACGGTACCACCTGCCACAATTGCCAATAAATGTGACTGAAAGAAAAAGATAAACCGACTCGGTTGTTGTTTGCTGTTGCGCGTTTGGGATTGAAGTCACACATCCCCATCCCAGTAGCAGCCACCAGACTCCTCCCTGCCCAGTTTAAGCAAGACCGAAGCCCAGTGGGGGCCACTCCAAGGCAAGTTCACCCCCAAAACCATCTCACACACTCAAATCCTCAGTCGCTGTGGCTTCCTTTCCTCCCTGCCCTCCCCTTCCCCACTCAAGGTGAACACCACCCCACTCCCAGCCCCACACCGGCGCTGGGCACCCACAGCTGTGTGTCCCACGCTGCTGTAGCCTTCGTGGCCAGTGTCACCAGACCTGAGGGACCCAAAGTCGAGCCGTCAGCCACGCGGCATCCCCAGGGGGGCAAGGGATGCTCCCCGAGAACGCAAAAAAGAAAGTCACACTGACACCCACAAACTTTAAAATTTTTATTCAACAATTTACATCACTTATTGTCTGTCTTAACGTATTCGATCTACACAAATTTCTTTTTTTTTTTTTTTTTTCCTGATAAAATAATAAAATTTGGATAAATTTTGAAGACCTGTTGGTGCAGAATAAACAAAATTTCAGGTAACCTCTTTTTTTTTTTTTTTCTTTTTTTTTCCTTTTTTTTTTTTTAAACATTTAGTGTGAAGTTATGACATCATTGGTAAAGATACATCATGCCATTACAGCTCATGGACATTACCTATCCTTACAGTCCGTGACATCACCCATACCAGCGCAAGGGGCTGCGCCGGACACAGCTACAGCAGGTATTACACTAACTCTTCTAAGCCACCCTCTCACCACCAGGAAAACGCCGACGCCTTTTCCAGCCGGGCACACAGAGTGCATGAAACCTACTCGGAAATTACCGGGGAGGGGGAAGAAGAGAAGAAAACAAAAAAAAAAGACTACCCTTTACCCATCCGTGCGGTTGCACACTACAACATCGACGACAAAGAGGGGCTGCCCCTCTCCGCGGGTCAGAGGTAATTCAGCTCCTGAGCAGGTAAGAGCACAACCCCTCGCAGCGATTTGAACACACACCAGGAAACCCAACGAAATGAGAACTTATCGACGGGGGGGGGGGGTGGATTTTGGGGGTTTGGGGATGGGGGGGCAGGAGAGGAGACGGCTCCAGCCCCAGCTCGGAGTCGAAGCGCGCGGTTGTGTTTTCGCACCACCCTTAACACTGAAATATTCAGGGAAGGGGGGGGAGAGAGGGGCATCCATCCCCCCCCCCGGGAAACAAGTTGAGGACCTTCAGGGGCTGGCGAGCCGCTGAAGGTGTGTAAGTACACGTGTGATGGTAGATAGAAAAGCAGCCCTGTTCTGTATGAAAAAAAGCTGTCAAGTTAGTACAAATTTCTGCCATGGCGAAGGGAACACGAGGAGAAAGCTGTCAGGGTCCTTCTCCCATCACAAAATCCCACCTCTCCCGCGCAAAGGCTCTGGGCTAAGCAACAAGTTTCCAAAAGGTGGTACCTGCAACTCAACGCACCCAACTCGTGAAAACAAAACCGAAATAAAGCTCTCACCCCGGGAGAGCAGCGGGAGCCCTCCCTCCGCTCCGGTGGGCCATGGACCACAGCCCCACGGCGGGGAGAGCCCGTCCCTCCCGCCTCACAGTGGGAATACGCAAGGGTAGGGTTTCTCTGCGCTTCATTTTTTGTTATTAGAAGCCTTGAGTTGGCCTGCGACGCGGCCCACCCATCTCCATCCCCTCCTCACAGCTCCTGGGGCGGGAGGCCGGCAGGTACCACCGCCATGCCCCCCACCAGAGGGAAACAGGGCACTCGTTCATCCGACGGTACAACGTGTATCTGAGACACAAGCCAGCACACCCCGCTCCCTCCAATTCGATTACTAAAGTAGGCTCTTTAAAATAAAAAAATAATATATATATTTATATAGCTATACAGAGAGATACAGAGAAAGCAAAGGAGAGAGAAAGGCTACTAAAAAAATCAAGAAGCGCCAGTTTTCTGCTACGGCTGTCAGCAAAGAACTGTCACCTTACATCATACCCTCCAAGATGGTGAAGATAATGCAGGCAATGACAGCACAGGAATGCAAAAGAGGGCAGATAAGTCACTTCTGGTAATGAGACACAAATTAAACTTTCAAAACATGTGCATAGCTTTATTCATCTGCTTCAAACTAACCTTTTTCACGGAGCTTCAGCGAAACCCGAGTGTGCAAAATGCATTTCTAAAAAATAATGCAAGCAAGCTTTCACATTTACAGTGGCAGAAGTTCGGAAAGACTCGGACAGAAATCACACTTTGGGGCGAGTGAGTCGGGAGAGAGATGAAGAAACCAAGAATTGCACAGCTTCGTATTCTGAGTCACTGACTGCAAACATAAGCATTTCTACGTCGTTAAACTTTAAGCAAGGCGTGTTTACTCCTCCTTTACAAAGAAAATAAAACTGAAAAAAAAAACCCCACAGTAACAAGAACCACAACCTGGAAGGGGAATAATGTGTCCCCCCCTCTCCATCCCCCAGGTAATGGGGTCCCCAGTGCCGCAGAGAGCCCTAACTCCAGAGCAAAGCCCGTTCCAGACCCTCTCTTGTTTTGGCTTTGCAGGCAAAGCTCAGCAATGATTACTTCTGTCCGCAGGAGAACAGCAAAGCAGCTTCTCTTTTTCTCCCTCCCACCCCCCAAGTCCCCTCCAAAGTCACAGAAAACGGCTCGTGTTAGGAAAGGAAAGGTGCCACCCCACAGGACATTGTCCCCAAACTGTAAGACAGCCACTAGGCAAGCTGGAGCCCGAGGCTCGTGTCCATGGGATGGGTGACCAGGACAGTGACCAGCCCTGGACTGTAGATGGGGCACGGCCATCGTGCCACCAGCCAGGAGCCCGCCCGTCCCACGCCACCCCCCACCACAAACGCTCCTCAGCGAGACTAAGCACACACGCAAGGCACATTGAGTCAGATGTACACACACACACACACACGTGTGTGTGTTTAAAAGAGCAAACGCTGGCTAAAAAATAAAAGATAAGAAAAATTAAAAATGCTGAAAAAACTAAAGAAACAGGCAGAGTTCTGGCCTATGGTATTTATAGACTATTTTCCAGGCAGCTGTAATCCCCGAGCGTTTTTCCTACACGACTTTAGACCTTCCTTACTCTTCCCTCACTTTACAGAGGTACTTTGTTTTCCTAAAGGATCTTCTGTAAGTAGTCAAGTAAATTCCCTTTTTTCTCCTCCTCCTTCACAGAATGAATCCCTCCCTCCCCGTGGTGGTCCAGCTGTGACCCATGAAGACAAGAGGTTCTGGACCTGCCCGTGCCCCGCGGCAGCACCTCGATGCAGCGAGGACCTTCCTCCACTACTTTAACACCTCAGCCATCAGGTTTTGGCTGGGGAGATGGCCGGGCATCACTTTTTTTTTTTGGGAAACATCCAACTCTGGGCACCGACCACCCCCTGGCACCCATGGGCAGCTGGAGAAGGAGCCTAATGCTCCCTCACGGGCAGGAAGGAGGCCACGCAATGGTTAATACTGCTGGTCAACTTCACATTGAGATAAAGCATTAAAAAGATCTTTTCGCAGAGATGAGCAATTTCCTTCCAAAGACAGATTCAAATAGAAAACAAAATTACTAAAACCGGAGACGAGACGGGAATCGATTTGAGATTTTTTTCTACCTTACGAGTTACTCGGGCATCTTTCCTGCACCACCAGCCGTGGGGGAAGGAGAAGTTGAAAACCTCAGGGATTTGCACTACCCTTCCAATAGCAGCTTGAGAAAAGGAAGGAGAGAAAGAAAAAAACCAAACAAACCACCAAAAAAAATAATAAAAAATAAAAATGCACAGTGTTCTCTCAAGTTAAAAGAGTTCTCCTTTGCTTGCGTTTGCATAGAAATTTCCGTAGGTCAGCACCAAATTTAGGTACAGCCCTCTCCTTCGCCCCGGCTCCCCCTGGCCCGACGCTGCCCGCGGGGTCAGTGGCTGTGTTACAGGAGGGTTCAACCATCCGCGGAGGAACTACATGGTCATGTAAAAAATAAACAAAAAAAAACAACAGAAAAACCCACAAAAAAGTGCATCACACATTCTTGATTTTCAGGGTTACTTATAGCAGCAGCAGCATTAATCCAAGACAATGAACAGTTGTAGATTCATTCTTAAATGCAGCAACACTTAATGAAATGTCTTCAAGGGAAGGTCATAAAGAGGGTCCTTCTCAAAAGGATAAAATGAAAATTAGACTATTCCATATAGACAAAAAGGAGATAAAACAAAAATTAAAGACACAATCTTATTTACATTAAAAAAACATTCTTGTTAAAATATCTTTACAACACCTAAGCAAAAAAATATGTATTTTAAGAATAAAGCAGAAACTCCTAAAGCAGTATCCATTTTTGGAACCCTTATTTAGCACCTGAGGAAAGACCGTATGGAAAGCAGACAGGTTTTTTTTTTTGTAGGTTTTTTTTTGTTGATTTTTTTAAGAAAACTGTAAGTTGTGTTTTTGCTAAACGTTCATATGTTCGCAGTACACAAGTTTCATACCACAGAAAGAAATGAACTATTTATGGTTGGTTTTTTTTTTTTTTTTCTTCTTTTTAAAGATACTCATTAATAAGGCTGTAGAAAAGGGATACTGCTATCTTACAAAATGGCTTTAGAGCTCTGGACACGTCGTACGAAGCTTTCTGATTAACAGTCAAGATAAATACAGCTCAGCATCCCCTGGTGAAAGCACAAGGATGACTTTTGCTCCTGTCCCAGGACAGAGAGCAGCCCAACACCCCCTGGCAACGTGCTCCGAGGGTCTCATGCCCCCAACATGAGGCCACCGAGGAGCTCTCCTGTACCTCCCCAGACGTCTGCTCCTCTGGCATCTCTGGCTGAGCGATGCCACTTTTGAGGATCTCGAGCAGGACCCAAGGAAGCCAGCCTTACCCTGTGGTGTAACACGGATTGTGCAAATGTCTAAAGCTCTGTTATCTCTGGAAGGCAGCGCGTCCGGCAGCGCAGACCCACATCTTCTGCCCCTTCCCACCAGCCCAGGTTCCTGCTTCTCAACTGCTTGCACCAGGGCTTTTTCGCATGGAAATAAACAAACAACGCTCTCGTGGTGGCCAAAGCTAAAATTACTTTGACTTCTTGGGCTGCTCCACCACGGCAACGCTCCTCCAGCCCTTGCCCTCCTCCTGCCTTACGCACCGGTGTGAAAATGGGTAGCAGCTTGAAATTAGGTGTAGCCTTGTTCTCTCCCCCCCTGACCTCGACCATCTCCTTTGTACACAGCCTCTGCAAGGAAAACAAACCACTACGGATGTACGCACAGAAAAATCATCTAGGGACAAGACTGCTGAAAGCTTCGGACACCATAGCCATGTACTGAAAAATGCTGAATCAAGAGCAAAAACTGAACGCACAGGAAAAACTACCAGCAATCCTGAAAGACGCCTATGAATGCCATCGCTCCCAGGTGTCCCTGAAGTCACCCACTGGCCACTTCTGGAAAGGATGCCACCATGCTACAGGAACACTCTCTTGAAGGTAAGAGCACTAATTACACACAAAACTGAGAGGACAACTTCCACCTCTCTTTTTTATCTTTTTTTTCCCCAGCAGGAAGCAATTTTCCTTCTGGTTTAGCTGGCCAGGTCACCCACCGCCCGCTCCCAGTCGCTGAACAGCTGGTGTACTCACAAGCTAACGAGAATTGGGTATCTTTTCCACATTTCAGAGAAGCTCACAGCAGCTACGAAAGGCAAACAGTGGGATTTACAGTTCAGAAAGGACCACGGTTTGAAGTGGGTTCGTGACAGAAACCATGCCCTGGAGCTCTCTCCACATTGTCAAAGAGACGAGAGATTTCTAACGTCAGAAACAGGTTTCAGGGACAACTGAGGTGGGTTGAAAACCAAAACCAAACTCCAACCAAACCACCGGTCGGGTGGAGGGAGCAGAGAGGCTGAAGGTCCCCAAACCACCGTCACTGGGGATGGGAACAGCTTTTAAATCCTCTCTTGGAGTGGAGGAACCACTCCCTGACCCACCAAAGAGAAGGCAGACCCAGACCCAGTGCTGGATGTGGCTGGTGGAACCCACTCCAGCCTGCGCTGCACGAGACCCTGGTCAAGAGACACCCGACAGGACCTGCTGGCAGAGGATGAGCAGTGGGGAAAGACCAGAGGAGAAAGGAGACAGCCCCTGCAGGAATCCTTACTCCAATAAATAGAAACTCCAGGAACCGGAGGAAAGGGACTCACCGGACCCACACCGGGAACAGAAACGGGAGAGAAGCCTTAACCTGAATTAGTATCTCCATAGCTAATAAAAAAATAGCTCACGATTTCACCCTTAGTGCCACTTCCCAAAACTACACGGTATTTAAGGGTTTTTTGTTTTAAAACTTTACTCAGTGTAATGAAAACAATGGCACAAATAAATACACGCTCGCTCTCCTTCGGCGAGCGGGATGCTCGCACGCAGACACCCTGGGGGGCAGACCCACAGAGGGGGCAGACCCCACAGAGGGGGCTCCTGCACCCCCTCCCGGGCCGTATTTGGTTTATGCTACAGTACTAATACTCTGAGTCAAACAAAAAACAACAACAACATCGACAAAAAGAAAACCAAAACATGAGACTTATCAGTTAACACCTTAGCATTGTTTAAAATGTGCTAAATTAGTCACAGCTCAATTTTCAGGGTTTGTGTTTTTTTTTTCTTTCTTTTTTTTTTTTTTTTTTAATAAGTTTACACAAAAATAAATCAGAAAACAGATTAAATCTTAAGATATTTTTAATAAGTGCTCAGTAAAGAATTGTGTGAGGACTTCGGGAGGACTGCAGATAGCGACAGGGCGAGTTACAGGGCGGCAGGAGGAAGTTTCTTCCACGGGTCCTGCCTGGCTCTAGGCAATAGTCCATCCCAGAAACACCACCCGTGCCGGAGCCACGGGGAGCTCAGAGAGAGGATTTCGTAACTGCTCAGCACCCAGCACACGCCGCGGAGCTCGTGGAGACAGACAGACAGACATCTGGAGAGAGGATGGTCAGAAACACAGCAGAGAAGCTGCAGATTGAGGGGTTCTGGGTGGGCACCACCGGCAGCGAGGAAAAGCAGCGGGGGACAAACATCAGGGTGGGGGGAGAGAAGGGGGAAAAACCAACCCAACCCAACCCATCACTCGAACCGTGTTGCGTTCAGCACTTCTTGTCGCGGTTTAGAAGATGGATTGGACCAGGCCAAGAGGAGCCTCCTCAAGGATTTCAGCAAGAACCGGGATCGTTCTCAACGCCAAGGGTCAGGCTGAGCACGGGTTATTGCTGTTCAGCTCCTGCATCGTGGCAGCCCCAAGAGTGGAGCTGGGGGTGGGGGGGACAAGGACAGCGCAGACCCCAGGCAAGAAGAACAGGGTTTGGTTTTGTCTGGTTTTTTTTTTTTTTTTTTTGTCTTTTTTTTTTTGTTGGTTTTTTTTAATGGAACCCAGCCCTTAAGGCGACAAGTGACTACACAAGGCAAATAAATACACAGCAGAGCCTTAAAGCCAGTCAAACAAACTGGAAACTTTGCTATTAGCCTTCAACTTTTTGAAAAATAATACTAATTTGAAAAAAAAAAAAAAAGAAAATAAAAAAAAGAGAGAACATTTCTTCTACCTTAAGATTTTCCCAGTCCCGCCGTCCAGTTTGTTCAACACTTTAAAGCTCAGGAAGGCCCCAGCTCTTCCGCAGCGGAGCTGGGGGCGATTCCCACTTTTGGCAAGCAGTTGGGAGACTCGACAGAATTAAAAATCTAGGAAGGTGGGAGGACTAGATGTCGGGCACATCTGTAAACATGTTATACATCTGAAAAGTTACACGCACCCGTCAAGGTGGTACAGTTTATGGGTGAAACAGAACCATTTGCGACTGGCCAACCACACATTTCTGAACCTGGGCTGATACAATACATGATTACTATATAGTATTACACTACAGTATTATACTATATAGTAGTTTATACATAGAATGGAGTAGGCAATCCATAGTCAAACTTTAACTAAGCGTGGCAGAAAGCGAGCGATCTTACAAAAGGTACAGAATTAAGTTTCATTGTCCCACCATGAACTTAAGCGTCTCATTCAGGAACGATCTCATTAAAAGAATAAAAACAATTTAAAAAAAAAAGCATGCTACGTACTCCAAGTTAACAAAAAGAAAAAAAAAAAAAGGAAAAAAGTGGAAAAGTCTAAGCACAAGGGGTAGGCAAAAGTTTTGGGTTTATCTGCTTCCTGTAATGCCCCATAGGGTCCAGTCTAGTTTTAGGAGACACCAACTGCTGCTGACCTTGATGCCCAGACACATATTTGGCCACAAACACCCACAATGAGCACTGATGTGGCGCTCGGGCAGGTCAGAAACCCCCATTTTTGCTTCATTCATTGCTCACTCTTGCACCGGACCCTGTGAACTTTCCACCTTTTTAAAAAAAAAACAAAACAAACAAAACAAAAGACTCAACCCAGAAAAATTACCCAACCCCAAGATGATTTGGATGCGCTACACGAGCTGTGATGGGACAGAGCGGGTTACACAGCTGGAGCCTGCAGTCTGCTCAGCCTTCTCTACCACTGCGAGAAAGCTTTCCTTTCCTTGGATTTGTATTTTATTTTTTTTTATTTTTTTTTTTTTTTAAATTATTATTTTCATTCCTAAGTCCTCCATTTTTGTAATAAAATATATTTTTATTAAGAGATAATTAGAAGCAGAGCCCGGAAATACACAGACTGCATTAAAATATAAAAGAGCATTTCCAACGGGCGGGTGCAGGAAGCCCAGCCATTGGCCTTCTATGGACAAATTGAAAAGGATTCAAATTCCCATTTTTCTATTTTTTTTTTTTCTTTTTTTTTTTTTTAATTTTTTTCCTTTTTTTTTTCCTTTTGAATTTTTTTTTTTTTTTAAAGAGAAAAAACATAATTCAAGGGTGAAAGTTAGCAGAACTCAATTCCTCTTCAGTTTTCCAATGAAAATGGGAAAAAAATCCAGCACATTTAGTGTTAGGAGACAGACAAAGCAAATATGAAGCACCTACAGTTGAAAGCAGAAGATACTTTTTTTTTTTTTTGCTCCCAGTAATACAATGGCATTAAACTGTGGGAACAGTGGTTTTTTTTGTTGTTTTTCTTTTTTTTTTTATCCATATTAAATGCCTAAACAGATTGCTTATTTTCGCATGTTGTCTTTTAAAATGAAAACAACTCTTCAGTTGCAAGAGTCCAACGTGTAACCGGAGCCAGGTCAACTGTGTGACTTCACCATGCATCCTAGAACTGCAGTATTACCATCTTTCCCCCAGAAGAATGATGCTTTAAGACAATATTCCCAGCATAGGATTGGCTGCTTTACTCCTGGCAAAACATGCGGATTATAATTCTCTGGAAAAAATAATAATAATAAAAAAAAAAAATAGAAGCTCTGCAAACTTCAAGGCGTTTCCTCCAGCATTCAATGGAAAACAAAACAGAAAAAAAAAACACCCAAATATTGGAGGTGGAAGGGAAAGGGGAGATGAAGGATGGTGAATCATCCTGATTTCCCTGTGATTAGTGTGTCACTACAGTCACAGAACAAGAAACAGAAACCTTGTCAAGTGGAAATGCCTCTCCAGTGGGTTGCTGTTGCCCATGTAGACGACAGCAGGAACTTTAGAACCGGGCTTGTAAATTGAGTCTGTATTTGTTAATCACTTGCATTCACTCTTTAAAACAAAAACAAAACAAAAAAAAATGGAAAAAAAAAATCTATTCAGTACCGGAGATTAAATAATCACGTGTGTAGTCTCGTTGAAATAAATTTTCAGATTCCTTAAGAAGTCTAATTACTTTCAGTTGCCATTTTTTAAATAACTATATATATATTTGTATATATTATCCTGTGATTCTAGTTACGGTTCCTCTGCTGCACTGAAGATTTAGAAGGAGCATAAAAGCCTTTTGTCCCCCACGAACAGCACAAATGCTGCAGAAAGGTAATAACAGGCAGTCTCGTCTTGCTACCTTCATTGATCCGGGCGATCCATGGCTTCATCGTAAGTGATTATCCTTTTGGGATCTGGAAAGAAAGCAAAATCCTAAGTTTTCAGGACTCATGGCTGAAGATATTCAGAAGAGATCTGCAAAGTACTCGGCCATTAACAAACTCTTCCTGAGGACCCCCGGTGCCACCAGCTCCTGTGACGGTGCTGGGGAGCCCTGGTTGACCCTACAGCGTGGTGTCCCCGTGTCACCCCCCGGCAGCACCACAGGACTCACCCTGACCCCTCTTCCCACAGGATAACACGGAGCATCGTCACCCGAGGAGCACAGGGACGCACCAGAATTTAAAACTTATTCTGCAGTGTGACACCCACCAGCAGAAATAGAAAGCAATTATTGTATACACAGCAAGAAGCCTCATTAGATTTAATTTGTCACTGTTCTTATTGCTCTTTCAGAGCCTCTGCTTCTCCCTGAATCCCCCCAACACTGTTAATGTAAAGCTTCCTGCCCTGACTTCGTGATCCAGAACACAGACAAACCCAGGCTACAAACAGCAGGCACTGAAGAACTAAACTCAGGTGTCTCTGGACACCGAGACAACCTGCTCTCAACACCCATCCCAACACACAGAGCAATTCACTTTATTTATTCTTCCCAGTATCCTTACCTTGCTTCTGCAAATTCCAAACCGATTCCATTTCTGTGGAGGCAAAACAAGAAGACCATTATTATTATTATGATGCAGATTTATGCTGCCATTAGAGACAATTCCAAATATGCTTTAATTTTCCTGAGTGTGGCATGGCACTGCTGTGGTTGTGATGAAGCTTTTGGACAAAGCCAATCCCACCCAGCCCAGTGCCCACAGAATTCCATGGATTTGATGTGAGTGATCCAGGGATCAGAGGCAGAGGGATGGCTGTGACAGGGTTTTAAGGGTCAGATGGCCAAACCGAGCCTCACAAATGTCATCACCACCCTCTGCTCCTTAAAAAAAAATAATAAAATATCACACTCTTGGCTTCACTCTTCCGACTCCAACGCCGCTTCACACATTCCAGCCTCAACAAGTAGCCTGGAGAGATGATTTTTTTTTACAAGTTGACACTTTCTTGTGTGTGAAATCAGAAGGGCTGGACAAAGCGAGTTCCTCACAGCTCACAGGACGCGCCTGCAGAAGCTCCCCGTGCAGAGAGGGCTCTGCTGACACCCCCACAACACACACCACCCCAGAACAAGGTGTGATGCTCCACACACCCGAGCTGGCTGCTCAGCATCCTCAATTTGCCTCTGCAACACACTCGTTAGCTAAAGACAAGCAAACCCTCCCCAATTCTTTGCTGAAAGAGGACGTGCTTTTGTTCAGCGAAGAAATAACAGCAGAATTAAATGCTCTTTTCATCCACGATAAAAACAGAATGCTCTTCCCTTGAAAATATCCCCAAAAATTAAGTCCCATCTTTAGAGAGCCATTCCAAATAATCACACTTAGCCATTATCAAGCTGGAATTTTATCTATAAAGACACTAACTGTACCCTGCGCCCAAGTTTAAGGGATAACATTATAGAAAAGGAGAATTTTGCAGGAAGACAACCTGCAAGACCTATCTTTCAAGCTTCTCTTTTGCCAGAAGGGAAGGTGACAGGAACGGAGAACAGCCCGGGATTATGAAGCTACACGGTACGTGCAGTAAAGCACAAAAGAAGGCAATAATTAAAGTAACCGGCATGGGAAAGGAAGAAGATAAAACCCTGCAGAACTGACGGCCTCAGCACGACGTGTGCCAAGTGTCACCTCCATCAATCGCCTGCGTGTCCCCGTCCCTTCTCCAACCCTTCATCTGGCCTTTGTCCGCTACAATCTCCAGCTCCCCGGGGCAGGAAATTGCATGCAAATAAATATTGCCAGCCCTCTCTGCTCAATTAAGTCTTTTGTAAGGAAGGCCCTGGCAAAATTTTACGAGGTCTGTTATTTTTTGCGTCACGATAATAACAGCAATAACTCTGCACTTTCACCGGGGGAGCCTTAAGTGCTTTGGGAATAGTAACCAGCCTCCAACACCCCCAGGGATATAACCAACCCAGCAAGGGACTACACCTCCCTCATCCACCAGATGCAGATTCCCCAGAAGTAAAACGAACCAGCTACTAAAATTACCTCCAGCAGAGCTCGTTTTCCATTCAGCGAAGGGAGATGCATCATTTCCTAACGGCTGAAGAACATCACCTGTTTCAACAGCTTTCCCCAAAGGCGGGGGGGGGAGAAAACTACTCTCAAGTTGTTGGTTCCTCCACATTAGAGCAACATTAAGAGCTTAAAACACAAAGCAGAGACTGAAGCACTGCCTGTTACTGTCTCCACACAAAACGACCATGGTTTCTTTCACACTTCCATCCGGTCCTAACTTCATCAGACAGCAGAGACCAAGAACTGCTTGTGTTAAGATGTGCCTGACAATAAGACAGTGAGATACTACCAAAAACACATCGAAAAAACTTTCAAGTTGACAAAAATCTATTTTAAAAAACCCATAACAAACCAACACGTAACCTTTCCAGACTTCAGTCTTCCTTCTCCTCCTTCTTCAGAAAGAGAGGTAGGAGAGAGGGTGGTGTAAAGTGCCCTGGAAGGCTCAAACACCTGGACACGTTGGCTGGCAGATGCTCAGCCTGACAGAGCTAAAAAACCAAAGACCATCAGGCAAACAGGCTGCCATACCAACTGCTACTGAATATCATCTGCCACCCGAAGAGCAAGAGGAAGGTCCTCCCCTCTACCTGGCCAGCAGCACCTGGAGATGGGATAGCCCAGGTTAAGCACATTTACCAACTGAAACAACTTCACAGAGGAAGAAAATCAAGTCTTGGGCTAATTGCAACACAAAACTAGGCAAAACACCCCAAAGTTTTCCTTCAATCTTAAGATGGAATTTATGATTTATTCTGCTTTACTTGGTAAGACCTTAGAATGAGCTTTCCTCCTGGTTCTGGATTGGTTACAGGCTGTGGTCACCTACAATGATCCCGAGATGCTGTGACGAGGAACAGAGGTTGGACAGACCCCAGTGACCAGACTGGCACAAGCCCTGGCTCCAGCTGAGCAGAGCAGTAAGCAGAGGTGGAGGAAAAGGCAGCCCCCATGAGCTGGTTGTGTAAAAGGCTCCAAACACCCTCCCTTGGGCTCAAGGAGCAACTTCTGGATCCTGTTTTCCCCAGATAAGGACTTTTACACTCCTGCATGGGAAAAGGGGTATTATCACCATGAGTCTAAGTCCACCTTGCTCAGATACTGACCCAAAAGCCAGGACTGCCGCTTTCCAAAGCAGAAAGTGGCCAAAACCTGACCCAACAGACAGAGGCCACTATTCCCAAAACAGGACACGTGGCCAGGGAAATGGCACACTTCCTTCTCAGCAGACCCAGCTGGAGAAAATGCCATCAACAAACCCTTGTGCAACCTGGTGTCAAAGCCAGCCCCGCTCCGAGCCAGGGGCAGAACTGGGTCACCTCCCGTGCCCTTTCCAACCTCATGTTTTCCAGGATTTTTTACAATTAGCCAGCCTCTCCATAGCCCTCCGGCTCACGGTTTGCTGAGAAGCTGCCCGGGACAGACAGCCCCAGCCACATCTACCTAACGAGCTCCAGGGAGAGGAACCACTTTTTCTGGGGACTATCACGGAAACAAAAGGTTGGTGGAGGAAGGCTTTGATGTCAGGAACAGACTAAGGCACACTCGTGAATTGCAGTGGGATTCTTCATAGGTCAATAAACTTTATAGCAGGACTGGTACATAACCTTGGAGGGGAGAGAAGTCTTTCTGTGATAACTTGTTAAGACAGGCAATTTTACAAACATTTTCCTCGCTGGGGAGGCTGCCCCTGCAAACAGAAGTGTCTGCACAATGCCACGGTACCAGTTCTTTGTTCCTATAAATCTAATATACAAACCGACAATTGTCCCTAAAATTAAGAGCTAAAAAATAAAGAGGGACCATCCTTGTCTGATTTTTCCTGTTTCTTTCTGCAGGACACACTGATTAAGTTAGGGGATTGCCCCGGAAACAAAGCAAAGACTAAAAAAAGCAGTGCTGTGGAGACTCATCACTCTATCAAATACACTGTACTCATCCTGACAACTGGAAAAAAGCAGAGACTTGAAGGGGAATTAAATCAGCTTTTGCCCCACAGCTCAGGCCCCACAAGAGACTGAGATCCAACCCCTTCCCACCAAGGGGGATGGGAAACCAAGGCTTTTTTCTTTCCTCCCCCCACCCCCCCATCCTGATGTAAAGGATGAAAACTGCTGAATTCACAGCTCTGCTATTTCTTCTGACCCAGTTCACCATTCCGGCGAACGCCACTCCTGGCTGGCCCACGCTGCCTTGCTCTATTTTCTGTGCTGCTCTTCTGCTTCTTCATGCGAGCAGAGATGCCGGCGCATCCGAGATGCCGAGAAGGAACAAAGCAGCGGCGCAGGCAGAAACTTGGGGGCAAGACAGAAGAGGGGAAACACTGCAGTCTCCTCTCCTCCACCTCTCTGCTCTTTGCTACCGCGCAGCTGAACTGGAGACCTCCGTTATTTGCTTTTTAGCAAAGGACAAGCAAACTATTGAGTTTCCCACCGCAAGGCTTGACATAAAGAGCCCGGTGGAGGGCTGGGAGACTGCAACTGCCCAAACATGATGAAATTCTGCAAAGCGCTGAGGATTATTCCAATATGAAATGTTTCACCCAGCTGCCTTTAAAAGGAAGACTAAAGCAGTAAGAAAATAGTGATTGCAATAGAAGTAAAGAGATATACCCACCCTCTTCTTTCAAAAGAGCAAAAAATCCTGCGAGGACCAGTTTTACCTCCCAAAGATTAGGATTTTGGCAGTGCTACATCAAGGCAGAGGTTCAGTTCTAACCTAGATAGAGACAGTGTCCCTAAGGAAGAGCATCACTCCTTCCTGGTCCTTCCAGTCTCCCACACTAAGCAATCATCCCTTTCTCCAACCACGTAACAGTGGGCCCCACCAGTGCTCAACTAAATCAGATCCACCTCACTAATGAGGTATGTCACCCGTGAGGGTTTCAAGGCACTGTCACAAACACTGGGAGGCACGGCCTGTCAATGAAGGCAGCCAGGTTGAAGGATCGTGTTTTACAGTCAAGCAGATCAGATGATCACGGGAGTCTTTCTGCCCTTTAAAAGGAAAAAAAAAAAAAAAGCAAGGCACGGAGCAGGGGCACAGAGGAAACCAGCACAAAAAGCATCCAAGAACAGGAGTGCACATCATCAGCCTTGCCAGCATGTTCCCAGTGCCCTGACTTGAGGGGAAAAAGCAATCTGGGCAGGGAAATGAGCACAGCTTCCTCCACCAGAACCTTGCTCTGCTCTGCAGCCACCCAGCCTCACAGCCCAGCACCGTCCTGACACGGCGCGGGGTGCTGCGGTGGTTTAAACAGGATTACTGTGTCTTACCTCCTCCCTCCATCCTCTCCCAGGGAAGCCGTGAAGCAATTACAGCCTGTAACACCCCTTACAGTCACCGGGCACACCACGCACAGGAAAGCCTGGTTTTGCTGGAACAAAGCTACTGAGTAAGCTGGAGGCTTTCCCGCAGCCTATTTACAGTCCAAGATGAGGATCCACATAACCTGATGGCAGCCACAGACACAAACAGGGCAAACAAGGGGGCAAGATTGCTACAGGCAGGTCACAGCACTGCAGCCACTCCTGCTGGAGCCCATTCCTCACCGTGACACCCAGAGCTTCATCCTTGCACCACGGATGGTTTGCACTGAACATGGAGGAGCTCAGGATAGAGACCCCCCCACTGCTCCACGCTCACCCCTTGCCCTTGCCCTGCAATCGTGTCTCTTTGCGTCCATAACCCCAGGGGCAGGGCAGATTTGAAGATCAAACTCTCCAGACTTTGCTCAAAAGCAAACAGATCAATGCAAAGAGGGAGAAGTTCACCCTCCTCTCGAAATCAAAACCAAATAATCTGAGGATCCAGCTGCCCGGGACACCCTAACACTGGCTGAACCAAACCTCTCCCGAGCGGGGAGGAGGAGAAGGCAGCTTGTGAAAAAAATATTGAGTGAAATCGTTCCTTTCCTATTGCAGAGGAACTGGTTGGCCAGGAGTAGGACCTCAGGAAAACAGCCCAAGATAAACAGAGAGAATGGTGTGGGAATTAACCACTGTGCTGCTGTCCTGCAAACACACCCTTCAGCTCCCATTTTCTAGATGTTTTACCACACACGGTGCCACAGGAGCTCACCCGCCAGGCTCGGGCTGCAGGACCTCAGCCACAAAGAGGGGACAGCATTTCCACCTGTGTGGGGCAGAGGAAGGCTCCATTCCTCCCCATGCCCCACAAGCCAACTCACCCCGACAGACCAGAACACACAAAGCAACACCACAGAAGACCTACCAAGACCTGGACTCATCTCTTGCTTTGTAAACCAGTAACAGCATCTGAAGATTAAGTAGGAGAAAGACAAGCTCAAGCTGTTTGGAGCAGCCCTGTCACTGCATTAACGACAACACTGATTAGAAACATCCACCATCTTTTACCCCTAACTAACACCTTGAAGTTGGCACAGATACAGCTTGAAAAATAAATCGGCAGGGAGGAGTGGCAGGGCAGGAACCCGTTTCCCCAGGGCATAACAAGGGTGTTTGCTCTGGATGCTCAAAGCCAGCGCATTCACATGCAGAAGCATGGAAAGAACAGGAATCAGTGTTTTAAAGAGTGCTTTAGGTGTCCATTCTTGCCATTGAATGTAATTAACTCCTGTGTTTAGAAGAACTAAACGCAGCCAGACTTTGAAGTTAACACCTCCTTAAGAGGACATGGGAAGGGAGTGTTCTTTATTTTCCTGTTGTTCCTATTGTTTTACTGGGGTCTGTCTTTCACACAGTTACTGAGAAAGGGAGAGCTGATGAGTCTCGCTGGAGCCCTACAGAGTCCCTTTTCTACAAGAAAGCTCAGGCTGACAAAACCAAAGAGAGACAAACTTAAGTGGTGGAAAAACCAGCAAACTTAATAACAGGATTCCCTTGGACTTCTCCTCTACACCCTGCTGTGCACTCTGGTACCCCCATTTTCTGAGGGGAAACTGAGAATTAGGCTGCAGGCAGACAGAAGAAATGAGAACAGAAAGCTTGCTTTAATACTGGAATAGACTGGGCAGAGGACCCAGATAAAAATCTATTGATGAACGCTGTTCTCAAGATGTAGAGCTTAAGATGTTAACATCGTGAGAGTGACACGACCTGGAAAAAATATTTGCAGTTATTACTTTTAAATGACCAGGCTTGCTATTACTAAAGGAAGGCAACTAAAAGTTTCTGTACACTACACAGAATTTGTGAGCAGGTAATTTAAGAACTTTGCAATGGGTCAAAACACAGCAAATTTGCCAACCAAGTACCAACCCCTTTGCAGAGGGGAAGAAGACATTGTCCATGGATGTGTGGAACAGTAAACAAAAAATGGATTATCACCTTTTTCCCTTCAGGGTAGGGGGATGCAGGGAGAGGGAAGGTAGGGGTGTATAAAAAAGGATCTGCCTCTGTGTTCATCAAGGGCAGGTAAATAACACCCTGCCAAAAGGGAACACAGAACTGGGCTCCTGTTAACACTGAGCCAGGACCAAAAATCAAGAACCACCACAAGCCCTCAGAGCTTCTGGGCTGAGGCTAAAGCAGAAAGCAAATCATCTCACAGGCTTCTCTCTCCTTGTTCCCAGTTTAAAGCCTCTGTATCGAGTCATTTCAATCTCAAAAAAAACAGGAGAAAAAAAGGAGCTGGACTACAAAGGACTCCATGAAAGCAATAAAATCATCTGAAGATGTGGCCTACAAAGACAACGACAGAATTCAATCTGCAGCTTATAGAAGAGTTGATAAGCAAAGATTTGACTTGCCATTGCCATAATACTCAAGAAGGGCAGGGAAAGAGTGTGCGAGGGGGGGCTTCGCTTAAAAAATACAATAAATCACACCATGAAAAGCCATAGGAAAGTCTTTTTTTTTTTTTTGTCCCTTCCTTCAAAGCCATGATTTCATGGCCTGATCTGCCCAGGGGAGAAGCTGCAACACTTTGGTGGTAGAGCTGTGAGCACAGACTATGAAGCCTTTTCAGGGACAGAGTATCACCTGGTAAAGCTGGAACAGAACAGATGAACCTACGCATTTAACTCCTTCCAGTGCTGAGAAGCTTAGGAGGACCTGCTCTTCCATAGGAATTAAAATGTAAAACACACAAGCCAAGGACCATCGCTACCAGCATCACCCACACTTGTCAACAGGAACAGGAAAACAAATACCTCTTACCATTAATTAAACAACCATTTGAATAACTTTCCCAAACTGTTACTGCCATTAGAGATACGCAAGCAAAAAGCTCATTTTTAAAAACAATCAGAATTGCTGTAAGGAATGTATCATGTTAGGATATTGCATTTAAAAAAAAAAATTAAACAAAAAAAAAGAGAAGAGAGTGCCCTTAGGCAGCAAGTTAAGCCATTACCTTTAGTGTGATATAGAATAGCAGCCCTCAGGTCAAAAGAACCCCAGCTATCTTTCCTTTCTAGGCCTCTCTGGTACCTCTGTTCTTTGGCGGAGGCTAGCAAATTGTTCGTAGGAGAGGCCAGAGGATTCTCTACTTCATAGTCTTTTGAAAGAAACACTAAAGCACCTTGGCTACCGGTGTCTGCCTTTTGTAGGTCACCTGTGTGATGCGACTCCAAGGCTAAGACACCACCCTCACCAGCAGTCCCAGGCTTAAGAATAGCACTAAGAATTTGAGGGCTAGTCCGTTTATCCAGCTCATAAGCCTTAGGAAACACAGGTTGTTCAGTTCCTGAGGGAATGATTTCAGCACACTGTGAAACCAAAGTGGCAGGATATTCCCCTTGAAATGTCACTTCCATTAACTGATTATCGGCAGATTTCCCCACAACAGTTTCGGGTCCGGCGCTGGGCTCGTTTATGAAAGACAAGCCCCACTGATTCTGGAAGATATCTCCCAGGTTCTGCTGATTCGTCTGCGAGGGGAAATCGACTTGCGCTGCACCCAGAAGCACAGTTTGCATATTTGAAGGGTAGATAAAAAGGCTAGACTTCTTTTGTTCGAGAGCTGTCGCGGTGGTGCTCGTGTCCTGGGGTGCTGACTCGGGGGAGGCGGATGGTACAGTACTAGCAGCAGTGGAGAGCAGTGGCTGGGTCCCTGGAGAGTAGACACTTCCATCAGTCCCTGCGAGGATGGGCCCGTTGGAGAAGCTGGCAGAAGTAACAGATTTCATAGCAGACATGGGGACTTGGGACAGTCGACTCGATGTTTGGGCCTGAGTTTCCCCAGCAGATGACGAAGACGACGAAGACGACGTGGATGGGGTTTGAGCTGCTTTGTTGAGGTTTTCTTTAACTTTGCTTGCATAACTTATTTTGGGAACAATTTTAGCACTGCTATTGTCCACTGGAAAAACCGGGGGTGGTTTAAACAAGGTCCATGAGTCCTCTTTAGACGTAGCTGACGATGCGTGCTTCCCTTTGGGCCGGTCATCAAACTTCTTGCTGCTAATCCCAGGTTTGGCATCAGAGTTTTTTCGCTGTACATCCCCAAGCCCAGGCTTTCCCCGGCCTGCTCCACCAGCCCCAGCCTCGTATTTCCAAACGGGCTTAGTATTTTCAATTCGGTTCCCCTTTTGTTCGCTATAATCAGGCTTGAAACTCTCAAGTTCCTGTTTTAAGGTTGGTGCGCTGACCTCCTGTTGCATGATTTTGTCCTGTACTAGATTCAAGTTCTCACAACCCTTGGCACTGTTGCGCCTGCCTTTCCGTTTTTTAGGTGTAGTATATCCACTCTCGGAGCCGCTCCCATCGTTATCGGCCCCTTTGCCTACGTAGCCATTCGTGATATAACTAGAATTATTGGTTACTACACCGTTTGGAATAGACACTCCCTCTGGCTTCTCCGAGGACTGGCTTTCTCTAACTTTATTTTCATAGGACTTCTCATTCTTTTTGTCCATGCTATTTTTCTGAATGAAGTTCTTGGGTTTGATTCCAGCTTTCCCCAAAGCACTGGCCTTCACCGTCTGCTTTGGGGTCACGTTAGTGTCGACGAGCTGCTGGCTGCCATTGGGTACCCTAGATCCTGGGGTGGTGGCTTCATCAGAGCACAGGCCCTTTAACGACACTTCTCTTTCTCCTGCGTTACCATTTAGCTCTCCGTAGCCTAGAAGAAAGCCAAAAACAACAAAAGGCAAGAATTAGAATGTGAAACGTTAAACTTCTGATCGCAGAAAGCTGTAATCAGCCCCAAACGTATCCAGTTGCCTGAAGCAGACATTTTAAAATAGGAAAACATCTCGTCTTCGATGTGCAAAAGCACATACTGATTTGCTGGAAACCATGGCAAGAAAGGTTAAGCAGAAAGACCAGCAGCTACTGACCCTCACCTACAGCAGGGTGAGGTACAGATAACAAAACAAAGCAAAAGAACGTACAGATACCATGTAAGGAAAATATACTGTACTCAGTATATACATCACTGGCAAGTTGGAGAGCTATTTCATCAGCCGCTATCTCCAGGTTACACAGAGGATAAAAGGATGCTTCAGGACAGAGGGATCTGCTGCCTTTGCTACAAGATTTGTTGAGGCTCAGAATCCACACTGTGAACAAGGGCCAACTCCTGCCATCTCCACCAGGCCTCAGGTCTGCAACACCAGCAGCCCCTCCCTGCCCACCCTCCTCCCAACCAACCTCCTTACACGTGCTCTTTAGCATTAAAAAGGTGATAAAACTGGGAAGAATTGCCTCCCTGCAAGCACCCTTCCACCACCACCAGTAACTGGTCTCCTGCCCACTGAGGAATTTGGTTATTTCAAAGTCCCTGGTACCATCTTGAGACCCAAGAAAAAAGCACTTCCTGAGGGCTCCAACCCATGGAGCCGTGAGATGATGCTGTACACTCAGCTTTCCTTTTTGCTTCTCAAGTTCATTTCTAGGCCTTAGGGTTCTGAAGTGACTCTTGAGAGAGCAACCCAAGGGGAGCTGTAAGCCCAGCCCAAACCAAACCACACCACCTCACCTTCCTTTTTAAAATCTCTGGCCAGACAACCTATTGCTTGAGGACCCCAGGTACGATGCCCCAGGAGAAGCCTTGAAGCTCCACCAAGAGCTGGGAAGAGCGTGCTGTACCCAGCTCAACAAACCCACTCCAGCTGTGGCCCGAGCAGAGGGACTCCCCTCCTCCTGCACCCGCTCCTGTGGGAAGAGCGTTATCCTTGCTCCTCCTCTGACTCATCCGTCCTCCTTCCCAGGGGTGGAAAGCCTTCCATCTCCCACAACTCCTGACCCACCTAAGGCTTCACCCGCAGACCCAGTGCTGCAGAGTCAGCACACGGAGTCCCCCCACCAAGAAGGAGAGCAGGCGAAAACTCCAGCTTGAAAAAGAATGTTTTTGTTGCTGCCGATGTTGTTGAAATTAACTGCTCTACTTAAAAAAAAATCATTGTTATTCTCACATCCTGGAGCCTCAGATGTCTGGCAGATGTAACTGCTCAAGTTCTGTGCAAGCCGGGAACACAAGAATCCTTGTAGGAATCTTTATAGAAATTCCACAACTGAGTTTGCCGAGAGGGATCAAAAAGGATTTTACTACACGCAAGTATCTGTAACCACCACAACTTCCACTATAACTTTCAAATATGCTGTTCGGAATATTAACCATAAATACTTCATCCCAGAGAAGAGAGACAGGGTGAGATTCTCAGCTGAGGCAAGGACTAAAAATTAAGTAATTCAGAATAACGCAGAGAGGAAGCCTGCTCAAGAGTAACGTGTTATAGCTGACCTTGTATGACTCAAGACTTGACACCACTTGTTAATGAAACAAAACAATAAGGGTGGTCATAAGACCATTGCAGATGAGGAGCGAAAGAATAAAATGAAGAACAAAATCCACTCCAGTAAGTCAGTGTGTCAGCAGTTTCTAGTTCCAATTTTCAAGTATTCACAACTCAGCTGCCCGAGTTTTCTCCAAACCAACATTTGGCACAACTGGCTCTGGCCTGGGCACAGAGGTGCAGCAACCAAAATTTAGGGGGGATATATAATAAAAAAAAAAAAAAAAATTATAAAAAAGGATGTCAAAATGAGCAGACGAGGATTATTTGGCAACCTCAGGCTCAGGCATCGCTTCGTAGCTGGAAAGGGAGGGGGGGCAGGGTAAGTACATATTAAAACCCCGGGCACACTGCAAACAGCGAAATGACTACTCGAATTATTTTTGCCCAGTAACTTATTTTAGCGTGGGCATGACCGTGTCCCTCCCTGTCCCTCCTCCGCCCCCCTCCCCGGGGGGGGCACCACCGACCCCCTCCCCATGGCAGCCAGGCCCCTGCCCACCCCCCGCCTGCTTATGTAAATGGGAATTTCAAGGGGAAAAAAAATAAAATAATAAATATACATAGAATTCTGGCCCTTCTTGGAATCACACCCTCGCTCTGAACTCGCACAGCCCCCCCCTCCCCGAAATGGGATTTCTGTTTTAAGGCCGGGCACCCCCCCCGGAGGGAGACGGGGGGGG